ACCTGGTAATGAACTTGGACTTTCATTTAATATTACTGAAGTCTCTATATGATAAAGATATTTGAAGTAGTACTTTACAAAACCAGTATTCCAACAGTGAAATTATATATCATTCTGTTGTTGGCTCTCTTCGTACACTATGATTGCATTTGAAAGGAGATCTGCAGTAAGAAATTCTAGAGATGATCTGCTTCATTAGTTCTACTTGTTGTGTTCAAACACGCCCATTTTATGGTCTCCTAGTTGACTGCGCAACTGAAGTCCAAAGCATACTTGGAATGTTTCAGATTTGAGATAGGGTCTGCAAGCTGTTAAGGATAGATGCTGCAGGATGTGGTAGGACTAGGAGGCCAGAGGCCAGTAACTAGAGGCAAGGCAACACTAGGATGGAGTTAATCCATATTCTTAATCTTTGGTACAAGATAATTGGGAGTTTATAGAAATCTTGTCTTGGGAATAGGTCTTTCCTTTTTTCCAATTGCAAATCGCTTTTCTACCCCCACTCGTTAAACCTTATAAGCATGGCTTCGAACTTTATGGAAACTATTTTGTCCAGTAGTGAACCACCATGTCTAGCTAGCAGAACCGTGCCACTATTTTGAATTCCATCTATTATTAATCTATACGACGGAGACATTTCCATACCATAGTCACGGGGGTCAGGGATGTCATCTAAAAATCAAGGGACGTCATCCAAAATCAGGGTTGGGGTCGAAAAGTTCTACATCCCAAAACTGCCTAGATCATTGCTCCACAGGAGAACAACATGGATCCAAAGGTCTGAGTTGAGTAATAGGAGATGCGGTTTTCAGTTGCTGAGACAAGCGTGACAACCAGAGTTGAAGAGGACTATACCAGCAGCAGCGGGGGACAGGACTATGCGACTTAGGGAGAAGCAACAGCCGAGTCAAAATTAAGCATTCTCAAATGAAATTGGGAGCACAAAAGTGAAGCTGATACCATGAGCAATCGATATTACTAATGCCCAGTGTGAGATTTTGGATACAAGTGGTTGATTTGTGGCTTGTGGCATTATGTTGCTGCTTGAGTAGAGAGAAATAGAAGCAAGTTAGGAGGAGGAAGGTGGCTACATGCATGATCGTGACTCAATTTATCATCTTATTTTGTGCTCTTATATTACTTTTTTTGAGCTTTTACAACTACATATACCTGGCTCATATCAAGGCTCATCCACCCAATTATCAACTTAGATTGTTTGGGCCCTCTCATTACGGACTACCTGGCCCCTTTTGACATAAATTTTTGGATTATTTGGATCCATGTCATTACAATTTTTGCGCTTCTGAGATAGAATTATATTACTATTCACCTATTTGGAAACTTGCCACTACAATTATTCTTGTACCCGATCCATGCAATTTTCTACACATCAAACGACACCAGGCCTACATGCAGATCATCGCAATTTTCAACTTTTCTTTACACTCCTTACATTTTTATCTTGTCACTCACGTGCAATCTCCTCTCTTTTTTTGCAAAGATCAATCGGGCGGCGTCGAACCATGTCGAAGTGCTGCACATCACGTCAGACCATCCCCACCGGGACCGTCGCCGGGATCGCACGTTGGGGCCCCACCCTCACGATCGCCGTGTGAGCCGCCTTGAGTCGTTTTTATGTATTGAACTTGTGAACTTGGAATAGTGTGTACTTTTGAACGTGTGGTTTGTAATATATTGTGGATTTCGAAAAATTTGGTCGTTTGTGATATATAAATGTGGTTTGTGACATATTGGTGTTGATTTGTGGTTTGTGATATATATATATATATATATATATATATATATATATATATATATATATATATATATATATATATATATATGCTTTGTTGTTTACATGGAAAAGCAAAAACAAAAAAAAAAAGAATTTTAGAGGTGGCTTCCCAGAGTGCTGTCTTTGTGGCACTTTCGGAAAGAGGATTTTAAAAAAAACAAATTTCTTTGCTTAAAGTCATGCATTTCAGGCACTTGGCAAAGAGTATCTAAAAAAATTAAAAATCTTTCCAGTGTTGCACTCGGAAAGAAAAAAAAAAAAAAAGCAAGGCGTCCGTCGGGCACGCAGCGTCAAGTCTTCCCTCGAAAGTGCCAAGACGGCACTCGGCAAAAGCCTTCCCTGCGTGCGATTTTCGACACTCGGGAAGACGCCTTTCCCGTGGGAGGATTAGCCGGAGGCTCTTCCCCGAGTGTTGCACCCCGAGTGCAACTGGGCCTTCCCCGAGTACAACTGGCACTCGGGGAAGCCAACAGTTCCTGTAGTGATCGTCATTTATTTATTTATTTATTTATTTATTTATAGTTTGGACAAAATCCACGAGTAGGGAAAGTGCTCCCTTCATTTTCAGAATACGTTATTTGACTACCCAATAAAATCATGGCTTAGTTAATAATGAGTCCATTAATATTTAAATTATCTCAAGCCTACCGGTCATCTCCACCCCTCACTGGTTGTCGTCCATAGTTGGCCACATACTGCAGGTTGTTGCTGCCGTGGTGAGCGTGGCCACTGGCCAGTCACACACCAGTAGTCCCAGTCCCTCTGACACTGCAGCGGCTATGCATGCCTCCATGGCAGTGCTTGGTCAAAGCATTTCACAATCAGACGACTAGCGCCCCAGACATCCGGCCCCAGGACATGTTTGGACGTAGCTCGGGGCCATCCAATTCATCTCAACGCATAATAACATAAGAAACGAGCGCACCTATCCCCCCCCACGTAACGGAATAGAAGGAGCGCGCGCCCGCGTGTACTCAGGGTGGCCCGTCCCCCACCGCGCCTCCATCCCAAGCCACGCCGCCATCCCACGACGCACCGCCAGCATCGAGAAGAAGGGGAGGGGGCGGCGCCTGCCTGCGCCTCTGGTTTGGATGCCCAATCGGCACCGAGAAAAGGTGGAGACACCAAGACAAGGCAGCCGAAGACAAGGAGGGAGCGAGATGCACCCAATCTACTTTTGAACATCCAGATATAATACTTTCAACGTACGTCTAAAGACAGATGAAAGATTTGAAACATGCACCGTGGGAATGCGTGGGATGGAGGCGCCACGCGTAGTGGAACGAGCAGACGAGGATTATTTTGCAAAAGCGCGTCCAGGCGGAAGTCACGAGACGGACGTTCTCATCGTATCATTATCGTTTTACAATGGGCTGGTGTGTATTTTGGATTCGCTATGGTCCATGAGGCCCATGCTTGCCACTAGGCATGATCGCTGCAATAGCGACAACCTATAGTCGGTGACCAAATATGGATGGCAGCCTTTGAGATGGTGTTCGGAGCAAAGACTACAAAAACAATTTTTAGATAAGAGAGGTTTTTTTTTAAGGCAGGTCAATATAGAGCCGCCTCTACAGCAACCTCTAAAATGAGCCGCCTCTAAATCCAGTCACGTCTAAAAATATCCCTATTTTTAGAGGTGGCTCTATTTTTAACCGTCTTTAAAACCAAGAGCTACGTAGTAAATTCAAATTTCAAAATAATCTTGGATGGAGAAACGACCAAAATAAAAGTTGTAGATGTCGAAAAATTATGCAACTTTATAGTTGAGAACTTTTTCATTTGAATTCATCTATGCATTGAAAATTATGTTTGAATTTTTTCGTATTTAAAATTTGAATTTGTTGAATGGCCTCGGATAGAGAAACGGTCAAAATGAAAGTTGTAGATATCAAAAAGTTAAACAACTTTGTAGTTGATATTTTTTTTGTTTCAAATCATTTATGCATGGAAAATTATATTTGAATTTCTTCACGTTTAAAATTTGAATTTTTAAATGACCTCTAATGGAGAAAACGACCAAAACGAAAGCCGTAGATCGCAAAAAGTTAAACAACTTTGTAATCGATGCATTATAGAACGAAGGGAGTACGGTTTAATTTTGTCGGAACAGTTCACCCTGTCAATGATAGTTCATCGGGGGGTACCATGTGGAAGGAGACGACGGGCACATGGAGACGCCCCACCCTTTCTGCCGGACGGCCGGGCCCCCATCGACCTGTCTTCCCTTGACCACTTATTCAAGTTTTCAGGAGCACGCATGCAGCCAGCAGCCATCATGATGCTGATGCAGTGATGCAGCCCGGCCGGCGGCCGGCCAAGTAGCAGCATCAGCCAACAGCAACAGGCGTGCATGTAGTACAAATGATCATTACATACATGGTGTACAACGTACTACTACAGGCTTTAGGCGGCGGTCATGCATTATTCATGGTACAGTTTATGGGGTGACATATGTATATGGCACCTACTGCTACTGATGAAGTCGATGGTAGGAACAAGCTAGCTAGGGACACCATTATTCCATTCTTTTGTACAATGCCAGCTTGTGCTCTGTTTTCGCATGGCATGGTGCATGTCATCACATCTGCTGCGTGGTGATGTTTGGTGCCTGTATAGTGTATAGGGATAAAGGAGCAGCCACCTAATAATCTCACCGGCATATATGCATGGCGTGCAGTTTGGCACCTAGCACAACAACCTCATAAACATGTTTGTGCTCTTATATATAAAATCAAATTATTAACAAACCAAGATCAAAACAAGCAGATGCTCGATCGATCTGAAAATGACCAAAACTTTGGTAGCACACCTCCCCTTACAGAATTATTAAATCAGGTACTTACAGAGGAGCAGCAGCAACATGAAGGTTGATCATTCATTCATTCATCAAGCACAAAGCTCAAATTTAGAGAACGAAACACACTAATCTTACATAGCTTGTGGCGTCTGAATGTCTGATCATATATGTTTCAGTGTTCCCAATGCAAGAACGTCAACGGAGCAATTATATTAACACTGTTCAGACGATGATGGAGGTGATCCGAGTCTGAGTCTGAGTCCGATTCCGATTCCGATTCCGATTCCTCCATCAGCACAAGAGCATTACCCAATCCTTTCCACCTCATGATACATATATATCTACACCTTAATTAATATTACAATTATATAAGGTTTGATCAGATTGACACCTCTGTTACTTTACTTATCTTGAGGTTCCCCGGACGACCGGCGGCCTGGGATCTGCAGCAGCGACGAGCCGGCGGGGGTGGAAGGCGCCGTCAGCGACGATATCCACGGCGCTCTTGCACCCGTGCATGTCGAGGAAGGCCACGAGCCCGCCGCCGCCGCCGCCGATCCACCACCGGCGCCCCGCGCGGCCGGACGATACTACTGCTGGCTTTGCCGGCAGCACCGGCACCGGCCACAGCTTGTTCTTGGTGTCGTCGTCGGCATCCTCCGCGGTGTAGTCGTCCTCCCTGGTGCACTCGGCGAAGGCGGCGACGAAGGGGTCGTCGTCCCTGGCGTCGGAGGACGACGACGCGGCAGGGGGCTTCGCGCGCTGGCGCCGGCGCCGGCGTCGAGGGGCCGGGCGGAGCAGCGGCGGCGGGAGCGGGAGCGGGGTGCCTGCTGTGGGGGAGCCGAGCCCGCCGCGGAACGAGTTCTTGGGCACACCCGGGTGGCGCTCCCACGAGAATGGCACGAGCGAGGTGGTGGTGCTGGCGCGCGGGGACGGCGACGGGCAGAAGAAGGTCGACGAGCTGGAGATGGAGGAAGAGGAGGAGGAGGAGGAGGAGGAGGAGTGGGAGCTGCGGTGGCGCCCGCGACGAGGTGCCGCGGGCGGCGACGGGAGAGACAGCGGAGGCGGCGGCAGCGGCAGTGGCTGCGGTGGTGCGTGGTGCTGAGATGCTCGCATGGCTTGGCTTGTGTTGGGGAATCGGAGGGTGGTGTAGCGAGGAGCGTTTGCTGTAGTTTCGATCCGGCGGGCAGTTGGGGGTCAGCTGTGCGTGTGGTTAAATACTATTGGAGTATTTGCAGAAAGGCCCCTTAGATTTGCATCCATGTAATTTTTATAAGATTTTCGATTCACGGCTTTGGTTAAAACTTTTACAAAAATAGCTAATCTTTCTTTCTTATAAACTATTTGCTCTCGGCTCATTTTCCTTATTTGGTGAAAATTTGATGCCAGTGCTGAAATTCACTAAAGTTGCGGTTGCCGGGTATAAATGAAGAGAACGGTGGCCTGGTGTGAGAATTTATTTACTTTCGAACTAAAATTCATCATAATAAATTTTTATTAGTTTTCATAAGTGGCCTTGTTTTGTCTACTACTAACTCTTAGCCACGTGCAAAAGGAAAATGATTCATATAGGACTCAATGGCACCTCTCACCAAGGGTTTATGAATGAAAATGGTTGCTTCCATCGATGAGAAAAAAAACTAACTCTAAAAATATAATACCAGAGCAGTGAAACGGTGGTATATGAAAATGGATTGAAAGTAGTTTAAAAATAGAGAAAATATTGCACCTAGGTCATCGCACTAGACAACCCCCAAGGCTGCAAGCCACATAATTTTCCGTTTGCATGCATTTTGTCGGATTTGAAAATTTCATTCATCTCTCTCAATGTGTATAACCCTTACCACATCGCCACAAAATCACTTCTTCACTAGATGAGGGATTATTACTTTGATCTAACCTCTTCAAATCTTGTGTTGCATATATGGCATTATCAACACACTTAAATTAAAAAGTTGTCACCTACAAAAGTTTTAGACCTCATCAAGAAGTACAACTTTGATGTGAGCATGTCTCCATCCGTGGTTATTTGAAAAAATTCAAATAGATCTAAGAACTTTTAATGAATTATGGGGCATTTAAAAGTGCATCTAGGCCCTCTAGTGGGTTTTGGTGGTTGAATGACAAAATATTTAAAGGACTAATGAGTTTTGGATAGATCTTATTGCAAATGATCCCTTCGGAAAAAAAATTATTGCAAATGGTCATATCGCACTAATTGAAGAAAGGGCAAGCAAAATGAAAAAGACGAAAGACACAAGGTTGTAGTGACTATTATTTGCTCTCAATGGTAGCTTGCTTTCATGAGCAAGAAGATATTGGTATTTGTGAAGATTGAAGTATGAGTAAATAAAAATTGTAGGGTTTTAAATGATCATATATCCATGGCGTTTTCAGATTAGTGTAGTAGATATTTCCTAAAATATAGGGTTTTCTTCTCCTTTGGAAATTGATGGTTGGCTATGTTTTTGGTTGCTAATTTGTTGACACACTTGTTGAGGAATATCCAAGTTTCAAAGACCTGCTGAGTAATTAAGAAATTAAAAAATGTAAATAATAACAATACATAACCTCAACCACTTAAGAAAAAATTAAAATAAAATTAAGTAAAACTTTGGGTGCTATCGCAAAACAACACTAGAAATAAATATTCTGAATACTCTCTCAGTTGTTACAAAATAAAGTACTCCCTCCATACTAAAAAATAAAGTCGTTTTAGACATCAAGACGGTCTCCAAAGTATAACTTTGACTTCTTGTTTTTATAAAAATATTTATCGAAAAGTGATATATATATATATATATATATATTTATGAAAGTATTTTTCAAGACAAATCTATTCATATGGTTTTCACGTTTCCAAACTCAACGACTTAAAAGTTATTCATGATTTATATTTCCAATGTTTTTGACCAAAGCCTTATCCAAACGACTTCATTTTTTTAGCATGAAGGGAGTATAGTCCAAAGCTTCTAAGAAACAAGGTAAGTCCGCCTATATAACATCTATATCATCAAATTACCTTAATTAAATCCACCATGGAGGGATTTATGTCTCTATATATCTTAATGATGCATTTATATGCATGGGGCATTGTAAGGAAAATGCACCATAAACCCATTTATTTTGGATTTTGGTGTTTGATGACAAACACAACCAAATTAGACTAATAAATTTGTAATTGATTATTTTATAGTTCAAAAGGGTGCAAGACGTGACTTAGACGAATGCAACGTGATGATCCGATGATCAACACCATAAGCAAGACCTTAGAAGCACAAGAGAAGACCCAAGATAACAAGCAAAGTCCAAGCATGAAGATAGGAACCAAGCTGGACGTAAGATCGTGAAGAAACGAGCACACAGTGGTGACCGGACACTAGTTTTACAGTGACCAGACGCTCCGATCAAGAGGCTCGGCAGCAGCAGGCGTCAGCAGTAGCGGCCAGACGTCGAACAGTAAAGTGACCGGACGCACCGATGGAACTGTTCATCATCCTGGCAACACATTCAACATTGACCGAACGCTGGCGGCAAATCGACCGGACGTAGAACTGCAGCGTCCGATCGAGTACAGAGAGGTTCCAGAGCGGCGAAATTACGACCGGACGCATCCGATGGCATGTGACTGGACGCCATCAGCGTCCGATCAGTTGATCGCAACTTTAATGATTGGTACGACCGGGCGCATCCGGTCAGTAGAAAAGAGGGATTTCGTCCCCAACGGCTACTGTAACACCTCTGGTGTTACGAGCTTATTTAGCACCGCGATTTAGGCCTAAGAAAAAAAAATTCTGTAACGAGTTTCTTGGATTTTTTATTTAAAATATACTTGATGTGATGAGTGAATCCTGTGTGACTTAATTTTATGGACTCAAATAAACGTCTAAGTTAGATTAGTCAGTGCGTAAAGATATTTAGGAATGTCTGACAATAATTCTGGTAAATAAATAGCGAATGGTTTGTTCTATTCGATTAAGCATAAAAAGCAACATTTATAAATAAAATAAAATCCATTAATAAATAGAATGATATCTATATATATATATATACTCACGTGCTTATTTTGATAAGCACGCTTAGTTGAAAAGTTTTGGTCTATTGACGTGTTTATGTTTTTACGTATAGACTCATTTTAGTCCCTATGTTAAATTGGTAACATACCCATGACTTAGTTGTCCGTCTGGCCGCTTCATAAATTCACGTGTTTGATGTGAAAACACGTAACAGGCATGAGATAGCGCAGCAGCTTAGCGGGCCTCATTTACTTTTCCTAGCATGGCTTCAGCGTACTCACCTTGCTTTGCAATTATGTACCGTCTCGTCTTCCGTCATGGCTCTGCACCCCAGCACATCCGTTTGCCTGCGCCCCTGTCTTCTCTTCCTCGCTTGCGTCATGTTCGATATTTTTAATGGGAGCACGTGGTTCTGCCCATGCTGTGTCCTCTCATGTCCCTATGGGCGCGCTGGCGTGCCACTGCCGTCCAACTCATTGCATCACCCTGCAGCACCATCACTGCCCTTGTCGTACTCTCTGCTCTCTGACCTTGCTTGTTTGGTCTGCCTCTTGCTCCACTGTTTCCTCTACTAGACAAGTAGGCCAGGCACCTTCGAGTTGCTGCTGCCTCCCCTCCTCTGTTTCTTGAGGACGCCAAGCTGCTGCTTGTCTTGCTCACCCTCTCTCGGTCTTTTCCTTTCGATGCTCCCTGCTCCCTCCTCCTTGTTTGGGTTGTCGCACGTCGAGCCGCCTCGCCTCGCTTATCCTCGCACCGGCGCCCCTCCCCGTCTTCCCTGTCGCGCCGCCCTGGTCCACGTTGGACCATGCCCCTTGGCGCTGCTCCTCCCGTGCGCCCGCGCCGTAGTCGCCATTGTTCCTCCAACCGCGCTTCTTTGTGGCCACGTCGCCTTGCCCGTCCCTATTGCGATCTTTGTCGTAAGGCTCACGCGAGGCCTTAGCTGGGTTTCGCCGGATTCCGCCCGATGCCGTGGAGCCCACCCTCGCTTTGTCGCCGCTTTCTTTGCTGCGCTAGCGAGGTAGCTGCCGCCATCGTCCCATGGCCATCCGTGTGCGTGCATGGCGAGTGCTCCTCGGGTCCCGCCCGGCCACGCTGTTTCTGTCCTCAGGTGCGGTCGGAGCCGCTGGCACTTCCCCGCCCTGCCTCGCTTCACTTCCGCCACCGAAGCGAGCCATCGATTGGGCGGTGGATTGGTTCCCTATCCGTGCTCTCTTTTGGAGGATGAGGTGAGGACGTAAATATGTAAATACGAGATTTTACGAGGGTCTAGATGTCAAGACTGTGACTCTAATGAATAGTAGAAATGGTAGCATACTCAATAGATAGAAACTCGAGGACATTTTGCAAAATCATTAAGCGCATCTGGGCTTGCCGATTGGGCTAACTGGTTGGGCCGTGCTTTCATTGTCCGATTGGCGCCCGGCCTCCTCGTAGGCCACGTATGTCAAGCGCCCTATCTCTAGGCCGACCATGTGCCATTGGGTCAAGCGCGCTTTGTGTGTCGGTGAAGCAGACGCCGCCAGCGTGCCTATGGGCCGCCCACGCCGCCGCCAATGCACAGCCCGCGCGCGCTTCTGAAGCTAGGCCAGATTCATTGGTCGTGGACCGTGGTACTCATTTCGTTTTTCCAAGGAATTAGTGAAGATTTCATAATATAAATTCTGAGCTGATGTTGTTATTTAAATATAAAATCATTTAGGAGTCCAAAAATTATGAAACTAATTTTGTTAGTCTCCTAAAATCATGATCTACCTGTTAGTATATTTTGTTCACATAGTGTGATAATATTCTTGGAAGCTATATAATTAAATTGAGATACTTAATATCGTTAAGACATAAACTTATAGGAATTTCCTTGATAAATTGGTAATAGTGTTGGATCTGAAATTTCTCTGATGAGATTCCTAAGTATTAGGTACTCATTGTAATTGTTGTAGCTCCGAATAATTAGTTTGCTAGATAGATAATGATGCCCTATTTCGAATAGGATTAAATTGATAGAATGGGATAAAGAACCAACTTGGGTTTATATAACTAAAATAATTATTGGGAAATAATGTCTTTTTCGACAACTTGGATATGTGTAGCCTAAGTACGGTG